AAAAAAATAAGCAGTTATCGGTTATTACATTTTTTTTTTAAATTACCGGTTTGGTTGAATTTTTATCTGATGAGCATTTTTTTTTTTTATTGAGAGAACAAATTTAAAAAACGTTTCAGTTTTTTGTATTCAGAAAAAAAAAATGAAATGAGAAATAAAACGAGGTGAAATCAACTTTTATGCAATATTAAAACTACAAAAGTAAACGAAGGAGATGGTCCGGGGTGGCGGTCATAAATAGGCTAAATAGTGGTAAAACTATTTTATTAAAAGCCAACGTTCCCACCCGACTTTGCCTGTCTTCTTCAGGGCTAGAACGGACAAGATACAAAAAGGTAGAGAATTGTGGTAGTTACATAATATTTAGACAAAAAATTATCAACAATTTGAATAAGCTTATTAAAATTATAAACAGTAAGTACATTAAAATATAAACAGAGTAAGCTAAGTAACAAGATCCTAAATTGAAGTAAAAAGATGCTAACAATTGTTGTAGTGTAATATATAATAAATGCAAATGTGAATATACTTCTGCAGATCTACAGGAGAGATTGAAAGAAAAGGAAAAAGGATATAATATGAAATAATAGACATAAAGGAATGTGGAGAAAGAAAAGAAAACCAAAAATAGTTTTACCACTATTTAGCCTATTTATGACCGCCACCCCGGACCATCTCTTTCCTTTATAATGCAACGGTCAATTATTAAATATTCTATACATAAGTAAACAGTAAAATAATAAAAAACAAGGACCTAACGATAATTGGGGCCTCGGCATCGGAGTGATCGAACACCGACTGACTGAGCTGGTATTTTCCTTCCCTTGTATAGTTATTTATTATTTAAACTCAAACAAGCATTTAAACTCTCAAACTTAAACAAGCATTTAAATATTTTATGAGCTTAGCGAGATAGGCTTTGATAAGCTACTCGAGGGATAATTGTTTCATTGTTAAGTTCCACCAGCTGAGCTTTCAATTAGTGCACACTTGACGAGGTGGTAAAGGTTGGTTTGCGTGTTCGTTGTCAGTTAGGAGAGGGAATTCAAGAGTACATTAACACTCCCAGTGCCAAGCACTGGCCAACTTACAGATTAATTACAATGGCTTCCATCCATGCTCGGGGAGATTTTTCTCTAAATTGTTTCTTTCCGTGCTTTACCCAATATTTTTGTAATTTACTTTTTAAATCGAATTCAGGCCGAAATGTATCATAATTCCGTTAGCAAAATAAAGAAAGGAAAACGAAAATACAGGTTTTTTAAAAAAAATTAATTTACTTTGTCAAGTAATATTTGTACTCGCCATCTTATAAAAATACACCTTATGTCGCCAGGCGCCATGTATTATCCCTCTGAACTTAATATAACAATTTATTTAATATAACAGTGGCATTAATCATCCACGCATTTCTACTGTAACACCTCAATAATAAATTCGCCTAAGCACAAGAATTCCTATGAGTTCAGTTATTTAAAAAAAAAGTGGCACTTCCGGTTGGCCGATTTTAAGGAAAAGCTTGCTGCCACATCTAAGGCATATACCACTATCGGATCCAGGATTTAATTTTGGGGGGCTTCAGCCCGAAAGTTGTTTTTTTCATAAAAATAACGATAATTACTTTGGAAAAAAAGAAAGAAACTAACTAACTGTATGAAATGGTGTTTAAGTGATTCCTAAAGCCCTTTTAAATGTAATTACACGAACAATAATACTTTAAGAGATACTTTTTAAATATTTTTTTCAATAAAACATGGTTATATTTTACCATTTTGGGAGGGGGGGGCTTCAGCCCGAAAGCCCCCCCTCCCCTCCCCCCCGTAGATCCGTCCGTGGCATATACCTATCTTAAATACGTAATATCAGTTTCGTATGACTTTTCGTTTTCGAGCTAGAGTGTTCACATACACACAGACTATTTTTCGGGACTTGGTTATTTGGACTATATATTACATACACGGCGGATCTACGGGGGGGCTTTCGGGCTGAATCCCCCCTCCAAAATGGTAAAATATAACTATGTTTTATGGGAAAATATATTAAAAAATTATCTTTCAAAATATTATTATTGGTGTAATTGCATTTAAAAGGACTTAAGGAATCACTTAAACACCATTTCATATAGATAGCTAGTTTCTTTCTTTTTTTCCAAGGTGATTATCGCCATTTTTATGAAAAAAAAAAAAGCTTTCGGGCTGAAGCCCCCCCTCCAAAATTGAATCCTGGATCCGCTAGTGATTACATACATATGTAAGTGAAAGTAAAAATTTAAAATTTCCATTTTACTATAAACTATTATCACATGACCATTTATCATATTAATTAATTGCTAGCACTTTCTATCAAATCCTTGTATTCTCTTTGAATGAAATTCTTCTCCCATTTTACTTAAGTTAAGAATTAGTGGTGTAAGGAAACCCCACATATAACCCCAAAGCAATCTGTGCATGTCTACCTAATTTGAAAAAAAATTGTGCTTTAAGTATTATTTACTTATTTATTATAAGTATAATTATGTTCTGATTTTTCTATCAATGTAACATAAATTATCCCCAAAAGATAATATAAGGATAAATGAAGAAATTTTATTTTGTTATAAACATAAAGTTTTTTTAATTTTTCAAAACATTTTTATATTATCTTAATTAAACGTATATTTAATATTATTTAATTAGTTATACTAATTGAAAAGGTTAAACTAATTAATGTATTGCTAGTAAATTAAAGACAGCACAAAACAAGATAAATCAGAGATGAACATTTAACAAAAAAAAGATACAGAATTGTTAGTTAAAAATGTTTGCCATTCAGGTCTATTCACGGTGTTTTTCAAAGTTTTAATTCATTCCCAACTCCTGACCGTAGAACTATGACGTCAATGTGATTCATTTTGCGTCACCTAAATACGTGCAATATCAATTTAAATAAAAACAACTCGTGGTGTAGTTTCACACCATTCTAAGGTCCTGGTTCTATTTTGCTAATCCATGATGGTGTCCAGTTTCAAGATCACCAGAGCACGCTATTTCCACTATTTCAGATATCTGATGAATGCCGAAAGTAACCGAGTGTTGGTAACCCCGTTTAAATCCGTCAGAGCTGCTTTACCTTATACTTTTTAATTAGTTTAGGTTATATTCCAGCCTTTCTAATTCGTAAATATGTAAAATAATAAAATATCTTATGCTTTATAAGTTAGTAGATATAGCTCGTTTGCCTCCAACACAAAATACTAAACTATAATTAATTGAAATCCCCATCCCCGCTGATAGATGCTGAGAAAATAAGAGCAATAATAAAATACATAATAAAATAAAATTGAAATTCTCTACCTCACTGGTAGATGAAGAGAAATTCAGAACAATGAATATTGGTATAACAATCAAGCAATATTTTATAAAGAGACAATTTCGATCGCGGTGAAATTTCAAAACAGTCTTAATTATTGTTATTCGTAGTAAATTATCAAATTATTATTTTTTTTAAATTTATTTATTGAAAAATATTACAATCTGTCTCTAGGACATTTATAATAGAGTTCACAGATCACATTCACACTATATGTATCAAATTATTAGATCGTAATCCTAACCATTATATATATTTCAATATTTTAACACTTATTATCGACTCTTTAAATTCAGTAATAATTTTCCTCTCAAAATGGGAGAAAATTAATTTAAAATCTGGAGTTAGGGATCGGTAAACTCCGTCTTATTTTGGACTATTCGGTTATTTTCGAGAATTTAGCACTACCCTGCTTTAGTGATCTTGAAACTGGCCGCCATATTGGAGTAGCGAAAGTGAACTAGTACCCATTCTATTTTTTTGTTTTTAATAAGTTAAATATGAAAGCATTTAGCGATAAATAAAAAATAAACTAATATGGAGAGAAAAAAAAAACATTTTCAGGCAACACTGGATACAAGCTTATAGGAGCATCAATTCTACCAACCATGACACATAAAAGTTAACTCACTAACTGTTTTAACTGTTTAGATTATTTGAGTATTCCTGTTTTCTATTATCTTATATTAAAGAAATAAAGTTAGACAAGTGTTTCTAAACATTTGATGATATTAATTCGTTAAAGTTGGGTTTTTATCAATGTATTGATCATTAACTAAAACACTAAATATATGTATGGTTTTGAAAATAATTTTCTTACTTTGTTACGGAATAAATTCAATTTTAAAATATTTCCTAGGCCAATCTCAAAATAGATAGTCATAAAACTTATACATTGAAGAATTGGCTCATGGTTTTATTGCAGAATTGCAGTTCTATACTTACTAATTTGGTATAGTGTAATTGTATTCTATTCACTCATATTTTATTAATGGTACTTCTAAAATTGATATATCATGTAGTAACAACCATATATATATATATATATATATATATATATATATATATATATATTATATATATATATATATATATATATATATATATTTTTTTTTTTTTTAATTTAAAAAACAAAACTTTTACTTGACAAAGAATATTTTAATTGTAGAGTAATGAGTAACATTTGACATTATTGGATTTTTACTTATAAGCATACATATTATATTATATATATTTTTTTCATTATAAATTGAGGAGCTTGCTAATGAAATTATACATCTCCAGCTTGATCAAAACAAAGATTTGGATTACGTCTGATAGCTTCCCAAAGTCATATTTAATGCAAGCTCAACTTCCATGAGAAATGATTTTCCTCAATAGAATAGTGAGAAAAAAAAAAATTGCTTGTTCAGCTAAATGGACCTCTCCAAATATTATAAAAATAAATTTTCACTGTAACTTTGCAAACAAAGTGGACTTGTAGGTGTACACTTTTGATAGCATACTCTTCAATTATATTATTCCTTAACTTGAAACAAAATTTAAATAAACACTCAAAATAACTTAAGTTGCCATTATTTATTTATTTTTTTTTTTTTTGTCACCCACAATATAAAAGTTGTAATTATTAAAATTGTTTACAAATCTTTCAGGATATGTTAAGATACCTGAGTTCTGAATGCAAGGATGTCGATGAAAAAAAGTTAAGCAATCTTTTGTCCTGTGCCTATTCGTTACTGTCACCAGAAGCAGCCAATCTTGGATTACCTGACTTTCCTCTTGGTAATTTAGAATCTGCTGTGAAAATCATGGTATGTAGACAATATTTGAAAGCTTAAGAATGATGTTTGTTCTTGTTTTGTGATATATTCTGAGGGTGTCTTCTATTATGTCTTATGTATTATTTCAGTCAACACCTTCTGGAATATTCTCCCACATCCATCTTAAATGTGTATCTAGCACATCAAAGTCTTAATAAGGTTCATTGAACTATTTGTAAATGTCATAGTTATTATCATATTCCATTAATCTGTATGCCTCAAAATATTTTACAGACTATTCTTCAAAAAAAAAAACTGTAGAGGACCAATCCATTTGAAATCACCCAGACCATGTTGCTCGACATTTTTAATTTTTATCTTTTTTTTTACTAGTTGATCTATATTTATTTGAGAGCTTAAAACCATAGTTTAAAAAAATTAAGGCTCATAATTTTTTCTTTAATCTTGAAAACCTTGTCATTTTTTTAATATGAATTTTCAAAGTAGCCCAAAAGTCGTTTTCAGCAATTTTTGATGTTGAATATCACAAAAGAGACCGAGTGAAAAATTATGAAATTGATACAGTTTATATCTCATTATGATGGGAATCTGTGATATGAATTTGATCACTGAGACTCAACTGGTTTTATTAGTTACAGCGCAACAAATATTGCTGCCTAGCGAGACTAGTTATCAGCTTATCCTATCCACGCTAACTCTGACATTTTTGCAAATATCAAAACCAAACAAAAACTAAAATTATGATGATGTTTTGCTTTGAATTTTTTGTCCTCACAATACAACCCCTAAGTAGTGGGAAAAGTCATTAAAAAATTGGCAACTATAAAATGAAAATTAGCTAAAACGAGACGTCAAAAGTGTAATTATGAAAAGAATCTCAAGTTTAATTCTTTTTTCATATGCAGTCCTATCACTTTACTTCTTGCTTATAAAATTTTAATCTTGAAAACCTTGGCTTTTTTTAGATATGGATTTTCTAAAAAATGGCTAAAAGTCATTTTTGGCGAGTTTAGAACTTTATTATAAGCACACATTTCACACATTTTCTGATTAAGACTCAATGGGTTCCGGAGTTATATTATACCTAATATGTCTGTGCATTGCATTATTTAAATGATAAATCAGTATCCTGCAATATGAAATTACTGCACTGGATATAATTTTTGTTTATCATTACACAAATGCTATGGTAGATATATAATTTTTCGCTGCTGGGACAGCTACTATCACATCAGCTGAAATATATAAGTGCGCCCCAACAATGGACTTTCTCCTTAATTTTTTTTTTCTGATTAGGGGAAAGCATTGTTCTGTAAATCATTGATAAGTTTAATATTTATTCATGAACTCAAAGTTGATTTTATACAGCATTTTATTTATTGAATTTCTTAAGAACAGATCAGAACTATTTATGTTATTGTACATATATTAATTTTTTTTAACTATGGTTTCGAACTTTCAAATAAATATAGATTAACTGGTAAAAAAATGATATAAATCAAAAATGTCAAGCAACAAAATTAAAATTAAATCAAATTGGGTGAATTCAAATGGATTGACCCTAAATTCTTCTTGCTTTTTTTTTATTGATTGTTCCATTCTTTATGCCATTTTAGACTCGGTAATTTAAGTGGTTTTAAAGAAAAGTAAATTAGATTGTAGAGAGAAGAAAGATGGAAGACAATAGTTTGCTTAATCTAAAGTAGATTCTATTAATATCTTAAAAATTGTTTAACCTTTGGAGCTCCGCTAAACTATCAAAGTCCTATCATATTCATCAATCCTTACAATCCAAAATCCTCAAGACTCCTTAATTTGTCACTAATAAAATTATCCATAATGTTTCATATGTTGACAATTTAGCTTATCCTTTCATGATAAACTTCAAATCCATTGAAATCCACTAGTTTTTAATCTTGCGTCCTCTTCGATTCAGAAAGATGGCCTTGGAACCTTCTAATATAGAACTATAATGGGAGTGCTAGAAAGGTTGTTTCTCTTCAAGTCTATTCGTGTCATATACCAATTCACATATACATGTGTTTTTTGTTAATACAGTTGTTTTTATTTATTTTATAATTTTAATAAATAAATAAAAAAGTTGTTTAACCCTATTATGATTCCTTCTCTTAGTTTTTAAAATATCCTGTTAATAATTTTTAATAAAAACGCTTCAAATCCTTTCAGTCCAAAATCCTCCGAACAATAGGCAATGCTCCAACAAAACCCTATATCATGACCTTAATATCTCATTTGTCCTCGACCTTATTCCTGAAAAATTTTTTTAATTCCATCAGAACCTTATAAATCATCCGAATCCCCTAGTACAATACCTATCTAGTTCCACTCATCCCTACAATCCTCCTCGAAGGTTGAAGCGGCAATGGCCAAGAGATCTTTTGTAGTATATATCTTGGAGTTCTGGCAATGGCCAGATTCTCCACTAAAGACATGAGTATATGTGGCTAAAGCGCTATCGCTCAAACTCCACTGGCTTTAGCACCAGTGACACGGTTGAGAGAGTAGCGCAGGGATCTCTTGAAGTCTTGTTTTTCCTTCTATAGTTGGGGGGAGAAGCCTGACTTGGGTTTCCGTGCCTTATTGTATATAGGTATGACTGTTTTTTTATGTTTTTAATTTACTCATCTTTAGGTTATTTTATTTTTTATTGTACATAGTTTTTTATTATTATTTTACTTTTGTTAATCTTATATTTTCTGTATATATGGTGTGAATGTGTTCATATATCACTATAATTATTGTTCATGTGACAGATTTTTATATTTCTAAATAAATAAATAAAAAATATATATATAAATAATTTTTAAAATATGGATTTTCCCTCTTTATTTTTTTTGTAACTGGACTAAAAAAGTGTAATTATTTTTATTGTTATTTTCAGGAAAAGTTTCCATGGTTATCAGTGAGGAGTATCCTAAAGAGACTTTACCCAGTCGAAAGCATGTTGAAAAAGGAAGGAATCGCTAGTGTTGAGAATATTCTTGAAACTTTCCATGTCGGTTCACTCACTACAGGAACACAGCTCACTGCTGTCCAGAGAATCTCTCCGCATACTGCTACAGCAACCTTGTTATACAATAATTCTGAAACTACTGTACCGGTATGTATCACATCCGTGAGCTCTTATTTCTTCCTTAGAAAACAACCGTTAAAGAAATATTTTTTCAGGTTTCCTGTGGCCCGAATGAAATGAAACGTGACATTGATAACTTTGTCAATACTTATTATCATGAAGATCTGCTATCAGAAATGATACAGAGTCATTCTGTCGGAGACTTTTGCATCATTGGACCCAGAGGTTGTGGAAAATCCCTGGTAGTTTCCAGATTTGCCTCTTCTCTTGGATACACTATCGAACCAATAGTTCTATATCAGGTATCACATTCCTTTTTTCCAATTTTTATTCTTAATTTTATACTAACACGTTTTATACTTGATTAATTATATAATCTTATATATTATTTCTAAAAAGAGTTTTTTTTATCGGTACGCCATAACTCAATTCTTCATCAAATCCAATGATTGACCACTCATTTAGAAGATATTCTTCTTCTTCACGTGTGAAAAATAGTCCCATCCCACCAAAATTCCTAGAAAAAAAGTTATGGAGGAAAATAAACTTTATTTGCGAATAACTCAAAAAGTATGCATTTTTTTCTTGATTGTACCCATGATAATTAGAAAGATTACTAAATTACCTACAAAATAAAAAATAAAATCGGACAATTATTAACAAAGATACAGTCCATTAGTTTTGGTATACTTAATAATGTCTTCCTGTTTAAAGTTATTGCATTTAGGATTAGAATAGTCTACTAAATGGTTTTTCTTCTGGATTTTATATTAACTTTATTTTATCGTAAAGACATTTGGCTGTTCTTACATTTAAAATTTTTTTTAATAATTAAAAATATCTTACTTTTATTATCTTTCCAGTCAGCATTTAAAAATAGGTCCCAGCAAAGCAATTCATACAAATATTTTGGTCTATTATGTTAAATAGAATATCGTAATCGACTAAGGAAAAACTATCAATTCCTTCCTTACATAATACATAGGAACTACTTATTTCCATATTGTTTTACTATTTCTTCACTAAACAAAGTTTTCTGCGAATTTTTCACACGGGCCAACTAGTCTTTATATATTATTTCTTAAAGATTTTTTTTCATGTCAAGCCATATCTTAGTTAATTGTTAATCAGATGCAATTATTGAGCCAGCAATTTCAACATTATCTTCTCCTTCAGTGCTGAAAAGTAAAAGCACATTCCCTAGAAAAAAAACATAAAGAAAAGAAAAATTGGGTTAAACTTAACTCAAAAAGTATAAAATTTATGGTAGATTATACCCATAATAATTTGAAAGGTTTCTAAATTCCTTTTAAAAAAAAAATTTAAATCATCAAGGTCAGAGCATCTTCAGCAAACAAGTATATTTTTTAATAGACAGTAGCGTATTGTAATTTGTTTACAAATTTGTTTTATTATTTGCAATAATAAACCATTATAAGCGATTGAGGCAAAATAAATCATTTTCTCTCTTTCACAATATAATTCAATTACTTTTTTACTTTAATTACTGTTTATTACATTACCAATAGTTCACTCTGAGCAATATACTAGATAAATTATATTTTTGGGCCAATTATTTTATATAATTGATTGAAAGCAGTAAGCTTCATTAAACTGGTTTTCTACTTGAAATAGTATGTTTACAAAATAATATGTGACTAGGACTTTATTATATTGTCCATTTCTTCTTATATTTTTGATGTTCAATAATTTACTCAAGGAAGAATTTTGTGTTATTTTATGTTTAAAGCATGAAACATTTTCCGCATATATCCATTATCTTCCTTATACGTCAATCCAAGATTTCAGACTCTTTGTCCATCTTCAGAAAGACTTCTTAATGTTTTTCCCTTATCTCCCGTTCTTCTAATGCATTTTATTGACATTTCTCTTTTTTGTCTATTTTATTTAACAATTTTATGCCACGCTTACTCAATTTTCATCATCACAAGTCAAATTAATAAACATCATTAGTCAAATTTCATAGAATGTGATGATGAAAATTGACTAAATATGGTATAAAATTGTTAAATAAAATAGAAAAAAAGACAAATGTTAATAACATGCACGAGAAGAACAGGAGATATAAAAAAAAACATTAAGAAGTCAAAAGAATGTCTCTAAAGATGAACAAAGAGTCCGAAACATTAGACATATGAATAAATTGACATATAAGAAAGAGAAAAGTTTGTGTACTTTATTCCTAGTAGTAGCAAACATAATGAAAACTAGTTCAATTGTTAATAAAAAATAATAATTTCAATATTTCTTTCAGGATATGACTGCTCGAGATCTAATACAGCAACGAACAACTTTAGAAAGCGGGGATACAGTTTGGAAAAACTCACCTCTTGTAATGGCAGCTCTTGAAGGAAAAATTGCTTTGTTGGACGGTCTTCATCGTGTTCACCCAAGTACTTTATCTGTTCTCCATAGGTAATATTTCATTCTTCTAATATTCATATTTCCTTTTGAAGAATAGTTAATTTTTATTTTCAACTTTTTAGATTGGTCCATGATAGAGAATTACAGTTGCATGATGGGCAAAGGCTACTTCATCATGATAGATATGATGCTCTTGCAGAAAAAGTTGGAAAAGATGTCCTCATGCAATCTGGAATTCATCGAATCCACCCAGCGTTTAGGATAATAGCTCTGGCGGAACCTAATGGTATAAAAACATTGTATTTTTGTTTATTATGTACAAATTTTTATGCTTAGTCCAATTTTACAAGTTGGGTTTAAAAAACTTAATTGATAAAAGTTAGTATCAATTTTTTACTTTCCTACCTCTACTAGTTAAGGAAAATATTGCGATCGGATCCAATTTACGATGTGTGGTTTTTGACGGATCTTTAAATTTCAAAGTCTCCTGGGTCCGAAAAAACACATTTCCAGCCATTGGTCTGTCTGTCTTTCTGTGCCAAGATTATTTCGGGAACTAAATGACTTATTTTGTTGCTTCTTTTTTTATTTTGTAGGGTTTTTACTACTGATGTCTGTGACACAAACTGTGTGCTCCCTGCGCAATAAGTGAAAAAATTATTTTTCTATAGACTGTAGCGCAAAAACGTCTCTAACGATTTTGATGAAACTTTCTTATAATTTTTTAATTAACATGCTAGCTGCAGTTACAGTCCGCAGTGTACAATAACTTTATATCAGATATTATGATTATTTACGTTTGCATATATCTAACTCCCATTCAAATATTTTTTAAAATGACCATTTTATAGACTTCATAACATAAGCTAAATTCGAAATAATATCGGAACCTGGAGACCGTAACTGCAGCTAACGTGTTAATGTCCTTTCAATTTTCATAGATGTACTAAATTCCCGAGAAAATTCAGGAAAAAATTACAAAGAAAAGAGAAATGTTTTTGGGTCTAACTCGCTAAGTATATATTCTATGAATGAATGAATGAATGAAAATAATTTTATTATTCTGGGACTATTGTCCCTTTAGAACAATTCACAAATACAAATCATATATATTAATATTTTGGTGTGTCCATGAAATACAATTTAATATTTACAGGTTGATTCGGAGTACAATAAAGTTATAAATGATTAAAAGATAATTCTATGGTAAAATTTATATTGATTTTTTATGTTGATCTTCCACAAGCCAGTTTAAATTACTCTAGTTTATCAAATAAATCGTGCTCAAATATTTTCTTTGATCATTTTTAAGGAAAATAAATTAATTCAATTTTTTTTTTTTTTTAAGTAAATATTTGAAGATATAAAAACTTTTCCGAAATTGGTAGGAAAGTCGTGTGAGTGGAGACAATAACTACTTTTTATTTTAAGTTTAATGGAATACAAGATTAAAATTATTTAATATCTTGCCTCGAAGTTTGCCGACAATTATTATTCATGTAAACAAACGAAGCTGCATAATTCACTTGATAAAAAATTTTTCATTCTAAAAAACTATAATTGTACACTGATTAGATTTAAGGTACAACTTTTTTTGATCACTTTTTTTTCGTTTTAAGTTATAGTTAAATTTTATTTTATTTTTAAGTTATAATTTATTTTATTTTTATTTTTAAGTTTTAATTTCATTTTTTTTTTTTTTTAGCAATAGATGCAGCTCCATGGTTGAATCCTGAATTACTAAGTTTATTCCAGTATCATGAAATGCGACCTTTGAATGCCGGGGAAGAGGCACATATTATCCGTTCTATGGTAAAATTACATATTTTAATACAATTTTTTTTTTCTGTTGCCGTTACAGACCATGTAGATCTTTTGCCGCCTTAACAAGCCTGCTCCATCTCTGCCTGTCTTGGGCTATTTCTTTCCATTTATCTATACGCAGCTCTGTTGTATCTTTGTGGATTCTATCCATCCATCTGCTTTTTGGCCTTCCACATGCTCTTTTGCCTTCTGTTGAGGCATTCATTGTTACGTAGAGGCTTCTAGATTGATTGCTACGAGCTATATACCCCGCCCATCTTAACCTATTATTATATTTTAATACAATATAAATCTTTTTTATTAAATTGTAGTAAGAGAAATGTTATTTTATGTCTTTAGGTTTCATTTTATTGCTTAGCTTTTATTTTTTGTTTTCCTAGGTTGGTAAATTACCTGATTCAACATCACGTATACTCGACTTGACAGATAGTTTGAGAAAAGGATCTGATCCACTTTTAGCGTCTCTTTCTGGATCGTTCTCTACTCGTCAGCTCATCAGGATGGCAAGAAGGGCCACTACATTTTATGAGGAAGATCCTTATAGCATAATACACAATGCCTGTTTGGCCAAGTAATTAATTAATTTCATAGTATAACTTAAGCATAATTCTATTTCAATATTAATTTAGTTTTCTTAACAATACTGCTACTTCTTTGTATATGTTGTTCAGTTATATTCATTAGACTGCGAAAATCTTCTTTCGAGTCTTACCAATTTCGGGTCTTAATAAGATACTAAAGTAAATGAGCTATTTAAAAAAAAAAAAAATGACATCTAAAATTACTTCTACACTGACAGGCAAAAAATTCCACCCACTTGTTACCCATTAAGGAACCACGTTGGAAAGGTTGGTTCTGGGAAAAATTACAGGCTGCATATCTTTCGTTTCTTCTTCTCCACACCCTTTCACACCCGTCTGGAGATCGAAGAGCGAATCTTGACTCATCTGTAAAAAGTACAGCACTCCATTCGTCCATAGTCCAATGGCTGTATTCTCGAGCAAAAGCCAGCCGTGTTGCTCTGTGAGTTCTGGTCAACTCTGGTCGTCTTACTGGACGAAAAGCCATTAATACATACTCATTTAATCGTCTCCGAGTGGTACGTTCAGAAATTTGCACACCTCAAACTTCTTCGAGCTGATGAATTGCTTGAACAATGGTAAGGTGCCGGTTTCATAAAATTCTCAAAATCAAAATGTGGTCATCCCGTGGTTCTGTTACCCTAGGCCGTCCAGAACCGGGCCTTATAATGTAAGAACCAGTTTCCCGAAAACGCCTGACAGTAAAGTTTCATATGGAACTCCGATGGCATTAGCTGCATATCTAATGGAACTTTCCATCATCAATAAGTGCCACACCAAGCGCAACATCCTCAGCTCTAAGAGGCATTTTTAAACTTAATATTGAAAAAATCAAAAGCTGGAAACTAAGAAATGTGCTGCAAGAAACGACACTGAACTAATGATAACGAATAAACATTTTGATTCCATAGAAAGTAAACATTGGAATCTAGAATCATTTCATTGAATTAAGGATTAAGGGTTATTGTCCTCTATATTAACATTCCTAATTGAAAACAAACAAAAAGATTACCTATTTATTCATTAAAAACAATAGACCAATCCAAAGCAGAAATATTTTTAGATGAAAACATGAAAAAAATCAAGTGGGTGGAATTTTTTGCCTGTCAGTGTATAACAAAGATATAATTAGTGAATGTTCTATAGAGACTATTATTATACAACAATGGCTTGTAAAAAAAATTTTCATTAATAGTACCTCAATATCTGTTTTATATTTGAAATTCCTGTGACACATTAAAAAAAAATTAAAGTGTCTGGCTTTAAAAAAAAAAACAGCTTTTACAAAAATGTATGGATATTTGAGCCTAAATAAGCTGCAATTCGGCAAACAGGATTAATTTATTAGGATAATCTAATGAGAAAGAATCTATTTTTCTTATTGTTATCAATAGTGACCAGATTTTTGTACAGTAAAAAACTCAAAATGTGCAAAATCGTGTAATAAAAACCTAAAATATTTAAAATGGTGTAATTAACCCTTAAAAACATGCAAAAATCATCTATTTAATTTAATTTATTGTATTAATACATCGAAATCAGATCAAACCGCATAAAATGTGCATTAATATGGAACTCCGGTCTCTAATTAATATAAGAAATTAGACAAAAAACTTTTTTAGGTGTTAATTACATAATTTTAAATATTTTGGGGTTTTTATTGAATTAAAAACCCATATCTAGTCATCAGTTATGCATTCTGGACTTGATATTTCATACCTACCAGTTCATAGTAATTCCAAATTAACTGTAAGCATTGAATATAAGGCCTGGTATATATAAAGATTCCCCTTATTGTTTCATGAGAAAAATGTTTGATATTTTTGAAGTTATACAAATTTTTAAGGTCACAAACCATAGTCAAAAACTTCAAAGTATGGCAGCTTTATGTGAAAGTTTTTGGATGAATAGCATAAATGAATTTTTTTTCTAAATCGCTAACCATTTAACATTGCTAATAATCATATGAACACGAGACAGGATTTTTTATTTATTTTGAAGGTATAAGGAGAAGAAAAAATTTGAAGAACTATAGTATAAATAATGAAAAATATACCAGTTTAAAAAAAATAAATAAAATTCCCCTCTTCTCTATTAAATCAAGATTGAAAAAGCACAGCTAGAATGTTTTGTGGAAAACAATTTATTTTTTTGATGTATGTTTTGATTGATGTAAGCAAGACCCATTAATTTTATGTTCCATTTACATTTGTAGTTCATAGTTTGTCTCATCTTTCTTTCAGATTCTTACCTCCTCTTGTCAAGAAAGCTCTGGAAAGTGTTCTTCTTCGAGCGAGAATCTTGAAACCGAAAACTGAAGCCGATTTCACTGGTTCAATCAGGAGAAATGGTAATAATATCACTATCGGGCAGACCACTGCTCCAATTTATGAAACTTCAGCAACAAGCAAAGTTCCAGATATATTATTCTACGATATTCCTCAGGTATTTTTGTTTTTTCAACTTCAATAATGAAAATAAACAAGTCATTCTAAACTGGGTTATAACAACTCACATAATCAATAAGCAAATATCATATTAAAAGAGAAAAAAAATTCTTAACTTAAAATTATTATTATTATATAAATGTAAATTAAATTTTTATTGTATTTGCTCTGCATATTACCTATATTATGTATATTGCTTTAAGGAAAGTAAAGGGAACCGATGAACGTTGTTTATTAATGAAGGGTGTTAAACTGATATGAGTAGATCACATAACTAGAATGAATGAGGAAGAAAATCCAAAAACCGCTGATAGGAAAACTGTACTAGCCGAGAGGAGAACTAAGACAAATACAGATTACATACATACACTGATCATTTTATGTAACTTGTTTTTTTAGACTCGGGAAGCTCAAAATATATATTTCCGTTGAAAACTTATTTATTTATTTCAATAGTCTACGCCATTTACACTTTGCAAATTTGATGTATTGGTTATTTGCTATTAAATTTGCTTTATAAGCTTTAATTTTGTTATTATTGGAGGAGTAGGTCTCTTTGCCCATTATCTTTTTAATCTGCATCAATCAGGTAACAGGGAGCAGAAAATATAAAGAACTAGCAGATCGAACTGATTTTGAGTTGAAGAATGAAATGTAGTGTAGTGTATTTGTGATGGATGCAGGATTTTATTGTTAGTATGAACTTTAAGTCATTATTTATAGTGTTATTTGAAATAAACCAAGGTGTATTAGTATTTTTTTTCATTTTTCATTTCGCTTGTTTAGTAAGTTCAGTGAGGATATCTAGTTCAGAAGATGTGAGAGTTGGTTATATCGTCTAGTCAGTTCTTGTCTTTTTAATTTCGTATATATGTTCCAAGTAAATATTTTTTCTAAGTAGAATCCAAGGTACCGTACAAGCTTAAATACTTGAAAACTTAGAGAAAACTCAAATTGCAATTTCCCCTTACTAAATTTTCTGAATAATTCGCTTAAATAAAAATATTTTATATGAAGGCAATTAAAACCAAAAATGAATATTTTATGTAAAAAAAAAAATAATAACCCCCAAGTACAAACAAGGAGTTAAATGAAGTATCAATTATTTAAACTTTTGTTAATATAATAGTTAATTAATGATACTAATAATTTTGTTTTCTTCCACAGCACGTCAAGCTACTCGAAAGGCTACTGCAAGATTTTTTGTTAGGAGAACATCTCCTCCTCGTCGGCAACCAAGGAGTGGGAAAGAATAAAATTACTGACAAATTACTTCAACTTCTCAATCGCCCTAGAGAGTATATCCAGCTCCACAGGTAGTTTAGCTATTTATTTTTATTAATTTATTTATTAATATATTAACACAAGTAATTGAATTAATTTTAATTATATTAAAATAAAATTATCTAACTTAAGATACTACTATTAAATTCTGTATATCACTAGATTAACTACTACACATTTTGGCCCAATTGTGTCTTATAACTAGAACTTTCCTAACTTAAACATGAATATGTATTTTATTAATAATTTTTCTTAGTAATCTTTCTTTACACCCTATGTTTAATTTGTTATTCCAATCCCTTCCACGGCTGTCAGGGATATTGACATAATAATTATGCTTTTGTAGCTGCTACATTTATTTGAAATCTGTGAACTGTATATGAGGTATTTGATTAATATATAATTAAACTATTGGGTGGAACAGATTGCTATATTTTTGTATTATAATTTCATTGATTAAAGCCAGATCTTTTACAATGAATTGTTTATAGATTAATGAATTTGGACTGTTACAACTATTTTAACTGTGAATTAGATGAGTGGTGGCTAATAATGAATTATTTCTTTGGTACTGGCTGTTTTTTTTTTTTCTCCATTTTCTTCTCATCTTCCTCTTCTCTCCTTGCTAAGCCTCTTGAGTCTCTACTCCATTTCTTCTTCTTGTGTAATATGTAGAAATATAATCCTTCTTGCTGGCCAGCTCTGCCTCAAGTCTCAAGTAGAAATGATTTTTGCAGGAACTCAGCATGTCTATTTTATCTTTGCTTTGCTTTTCTGTCTGCCAAGAGATAGCAGCAGTGCTGCCTGCTTCTTCACCAAATTCAATTTGAATATTGTAGAAACTTGGATTTGTTCCCTTAACTATATGTATATATACATAAACATGTATATACACCTACATGTATATATACCCTATATTATATCTGCATTTTTTTTACCTCTCCTTCCACTATTCATCTCCCCTTACTTTTTATTACATTCCCTTTCTTTTCAATATTTTCTTAAAATCTGTCACATTACATTCATGATTATGTGTACCATCCATAATTTATATTGTATTCAGTTTTTCTCAGGGGTGAAAACTTTTTAAAAAGTTCCACTTTAACAGATTCTATGAAACTTATTAGGAAAAAAGTTTTAAAAATAAAAATTCTAAGAAACTTTTATAGGTATGAAACTTTGGTTTCCTTCGTTTGTTTCAAAATCACCTTTCTTTTTTTTTATTCAAATCAAAGTGTTCTTGATTTTATTACTAATTTGTTGTAGCATACATAAATACCCAATAGCATGCAAATGAAAATAAGTTAGTTCGAGTTATTTGTCAAAATATTTAGTAATGTTTACTAGTGGCCATAGTTTATCAATTGTCCATTCTCAATAAATACCATATCTCAGATAAAAATATACACTAACAGGAATATAAATATTCTATGACCAGTAATTGAAGACTAAGTTTTGGAAGCATAGAGGAACAGGAATTAAATGGAATATTATTGGTGCAGGCACTGGATTTAATTTATGAATGTACCTTCCTAGTTTCCACATTTCTGTAAGAAACCTTGGGGTAATGTTTGATCAATATCTGCCCTGAAATAATCATATTTTACTAAATTATTCGAAAATCCATTGCTATCCTCAAATAGTACCTGAGATTCTGTGACTATGTCCCTTAAAATCCATCAGCTCCTAGGTTCCTCTTTCATTTTCCCTCACTGTGATTATGGCTGCCTTCTATATGGTGGACTGTTTGGTGGGCTTGAGATCAGATTAAAGAGACTAATGAATTGTACCATTAGATTTATCTTTGGAGTCCACAGGTGCTCCCACGTCTCCAGTTGCTATGCCGAGTAAAATTGGCTCTATCCAGTTTTCCGAAAGCAATATTTCCTAGGTGTATTATTTTTTCGAACCTTTACAACCAAAAAACCGTCTTACGTTCTCGATTTTTTTACTCCTTTTTCCTCTGTTAATTAATTCAACATTTGATCCCAACCCTCAAACCTGTATATTCCTTCTCATAGAATTGTTTTCACTAAAAAATCCTTCATCATACGTGCTACCTTGTTTTGAAATTTCTTACTAACCTGCATACGAAAATCCACATCCTTGACCTCATTTAAACACCATTTATTTTTCCATCTCAGTAATCAATCTTCCGAATATATGTAAAAATAATGTTATTTTAGATTTTAGATAATTGTTGTTTGTACTTATTTTTTTTTTTATTTTTTTTTTTTTTTTGTGAGTAATTTATAATATTATATTTATGATCATAATATTAATATTTGTCTGAATCAAATTTTTTGATCTATTATTTTTAATTAAAATTAATTCCTGCCTGAAATAAATACAGTTCATTTACTTCTCTGTATAATATTTTATTTGTTTATTGGCCGATATACTATGTGAGTTATTTGCACAGGCCAAATAGTATATACTAATTTGACAAATTTTTAAGTTTATGTTTTGACTTAAAAATGAAATGAATATCTTAATTGTATGCACCTCTGTTTGTCTTAAATTAATGGAAATTTTAAGATATCTTGTTCATCTTGTGAAGTCATTGTATTATATTTTTAGGGATACAACCGTTCAATCGTTAACTTTACAACCCACCGTCAGAGATGGAGTAGTTAAATACGAAGATTCACCTCTGGTCACAGCTGTAAGGACTGGCCATATTCTGGTCGTAGATGAAGCAGACAAGGCACCGACACATGTCACTTGCATACTAAAAGTATATTCTCAGTTCTGTATTACCCTGATTTTGAATTTTTTTTTTTTAAATTATTTTTATATTGATACTATTATTTTATAATTCCTCAGACGCTTGTCGAAAGTGGTGAAATGATTCTATCTGACGGAAGGAGAATAGTTAGTAGATCAGATCCTAGAGCTAGCAGACCCAACCCTGGAATTATTCCTATGCATCCAGACTTCAGGATGATTGTTTTGGCCAACAGGCCAGGGTTTCCGTTCCTTGGAAACGACTTTTTTGGGGCACTGGGTAATCATCATATCTGATATTTTACTTAGATCATTTTTATGCAAGATAATCCTTACAGAAGTATGTGTGTATAGGTGATTTGTTTAGTTGTCATGCTGTCGACAACCCTAGTAGAGTATCCGAAATTCAGCTATTGCAGAGTTATGGCCCAGATGTTGATATAGGTGTTATAAACAAATTAGTATCAGCTTTTGGGACATTGAGAACTATGGCCGACGAAGGTCTTTTGACCTATCCTTACTCCACCAGGGAATTGGTCAATGTCGTAAAACATCTTCAGGTAAACTAGACAAGTAAAAATACTTATGCATTATTAGTTGAAATTAAATGACACCTACAAATATTTTTCGTTTTTATTATTAATTAATTAATTTCTAGGCATTTCCTGAGGATAGTATATCAGACACTATCGGTAATGTTTTTGATTTTGACCGATATAGCAAAGATGCAAAGGAGACCCTTATTGAAGTCTTATCGAAACATAAGATACCTGTGTCTATGTCTCCAGATGAAAGGGTTAACAGTAAGTTATGTTAATTTAATTTTTTGGATTTAATATTTATAAATCCGATTGAATAAAATAACTATAAACTAATTGGAGGAAAAATCTAAAAAACATTGTAAGTGGCTACTGAGCTCTGTTCAGTTGCTTATGTACCGAGTATACTTATCATTCCAATATACTTTATTAAAAACAGAAAGAGAGAGCTAAATGGAAAAAATAAACTGAATAATAATAATAATAATAAAAAGGGTCCATAGAATTAACAAAATAATAATTTCAATGTTATTACAATGTTAATTTATAATGTTATATATAATGTTGTTTGGACATTTACTCAATGCATGAGCTGGAGTTTCTGGCTAAATATGATATATTATTTATTTATTTATTACTTTCATTCCTTTTCTCTGTTTTTAACTCTTTATTATACATTGTCTTTACATCTTGATAGACTTTACAATATCTCAATTTTCTATCTAACTACTCCATTCTCAATGTCTTAATTTTACTATTTATTTTCATTTCTTATATAACTTCATATTTCTTTTTTATGTTTTACATTTTATTCTAAGATTCCCATTTTAACACTTATGTCACCCTTTTTGATTATGCCTACTTCATCATTCCACACTTTGTAACGGTTATTATTATTTATCTCTTAGTTCTTAGTCATTATTCTAACAATTTCATTTTACTTTATATATATATATTTTTTTTTTTTGTTTTTATAATTTTTTTTTTTACCATCACTACTTATGTTTCTCATACCTTGTTATCTGGTTATTTTCTTAGCCCTGATGAAGGCCTGAACTTCAGGTCGAAAAGTCGGCATATGTAAAAATAAATATTATCATTTATTTTTGCCTTCTTTTTTGACTGACCACCCCAACTATTCTTCTCTTCATTATCCACGACAGTCAGCCATTTACCAATTATGGATATATTATTTAGAATACGAAGAGGATATGTTAAATAAATTATAAAATTAAAGTATATATATCCATTCTTGTTTCATAAATATTATTCTAAAAAATTGTAATTTCATTTAGTATCAACTGATTAATGAAGAGTACCCAGTTTGAATTTAAATAATCCATAAAACTATTTAGATAAAAAAAGTAAACAAAGGTGTGTGCTTTAGACCACACGATAGAAATGAAAACATAACTTCAACAAGGCGAGATTAATAATATGAAATATAAATTATAAATAATATCTCATTATAAACAGGATAAAATGCTGAACATTTCCCTTGCTAACAGTATGCAGGTCTGATTTTTAATTTCTGAAATATTTTAATCCATATCTTCAATAAAATTCTTTATCATTTGGTTTTGAGCACTATCTTTTTCCCTCTTCTACACTTTAACACGGTGTTTGGTTAACATACAATTTTGAATAATAGCTCATTTCATAGAAGATGAAATGCTGAACATTTTACTCGCCTACAGTATACAGGTCCGATTTTTAGTGTCTGAAATATTTTAATTCAAATGTTCAACTAAACTCGTTATCATTTGGTTTTCGACACAATTTTTCCTTTTCGCTTCCCTAGCTCTGCTTCACGTTAAGATACAATTTTGAATTATAGCATATTACAGAGAGGATGAAATGTTGAACAATTGCCATCCAATTTTTAGTTTCTGAGATATTTTAATCCATATAACATTTAAATTAGCCAACTTTACCCAGGCATTAACACTTCCGAAATCTGACGGACCAATCTAATTCACTCTCCACAAAACAGTGCAAAACGTGCTTCTGAAGTTTTCAGATCTAAGCCATGTATATTTTTTAATCATTCAAAGTTTTAATTTTGTAAAAGTTACAGTTAACCTTTTAATTTATTGAAATCTTTAAAGATAAATAATGAAAATTTTATCCAATTTCATAATTAATTAGATTTTGACCTCCTTCCAGCCTTATGGATTATACAATTTTGTCCCTCATGAATGCTATAAAGATTTTCTGTAATTTTCCTCATACTATGATTCTTGTTTTTCAATGATTCCAGTAAAGTATGATTGATTAAAGAACTTCCTCTTCACAACCCAATCAGACACTGGTTAATTATGTATCATGCAACAAGGATAATTTTTTTTTCATACACTACTATTTTTTTTTATTATTTGTGAACTGGAAAGATTCAGTATCACTTTTGTCATCGGACTGTGAGGTGATGCATAAAGAATAATAGATTGTTTGTTGTTTTTATCCATTTTTATTTTTTCTATCTACAAGATTGTGTATATTTTACACGTATTTCATTTCTTACATTACTCAGTTTGTATACATATATATATTTCTATTGCTTTTTTTTTTTTCTATACATGTAATTCTTCTTTTTTTTTTCCTTTTCTTTTTTTTATTATTTCCAGTAAAATTATAAATATAGTTGAGAAGATTTTATTTTATTTTTTAATAATTTAAATACTATTATTTAAGTTGTTGTATAAATTGTTTGAATCTTTATTGATTTAGTTTTTTGCCAGATGTGTATTTTTTTTCTTTTGTAACTGTACGTTATTGCTATTCTGAGAGGACATCGTCCCAGAATAAAGTTTATTTTCTATTTCTATATTTTGAAAATTGCAACATGTTGTTTTAAGTTCTTGATGATCAAAACATTTGGTGTTTATGATATTTGTTATGAATATTGTAGCTTTGACAGCTGATCCATTTAATATTCATCTGATACAAATACCAAGAGGAAGTAATGTATTATTTTTTATTGCAAGTTTTATTTAAATTAAGTTTTTTAAAATATTTTTCAGCCAGAAAAAAGATACAAATGACTGTTGACAGAAACAGTGGCCTTGACATGTCAGGTCCAAAACATGGTAAAGTGGATGAAAAGAATGATCCTCATGTTGGCGGTAATACTTGGGCAGGTGGTACTGGCGGAAGAGACACTGCCGGGCTTGGTGGAAAAGGAGGGCCTTACAGGCTCGATGCTGGCCATGATGTCCATCAGGTAATGTTTTTTTATTATAAATCACAGCAATTGTAGCATTTCTTAGCTTATACTAATTAGTAAAGTATATATTTTTTTTTATAGATGATAAATATTTAGGATCCAGTCTTTTAAAAAAAAAAATTTAATTTTTTGTGCCAACGTTTCAACCCAAACATGTGTGTCATCTTCAGGGCTGAAAATTTTAAATTTTATATTTAAAATACTCTATAATATATTGTCCTATGTATGTTTTCAATCCATTACAATTGCCTTTATTATAAATATTACATAGCTAACCATTGTATACCTTTAATCAAACTATGTTATACACTGACAGTCAAAAAATTCCATCCACTTGATTTTTTTCTTGATGTTACTCTGTGAGTTCTGGTCAACTCTGGTCCTTTTACTGGACGAAAAGCCATTAATCCATACTCATTTAATCTTCTCCGAGCGATACGTTTAGAAATTTGCACACCTCGAAGTTCTTCGAGCTGACGAATCGCTTGAACAACGGTAAGGTGCCGGTTTCGTAAAATTCTAAAAAAGTCAAAAACCGCTCATCCCATGGTTCTGTTACCCTAGGCCGTCCAGAACCGGGCCTTCTATTGTAAGAACCAGTTTCCCGAAAACGCCTGACGGCATTTCGTAAAGTTTCTACGGCATTAGCTGCATATCTAATGGAACGTCCATCATCAATAAGTACCACACCATGCGCAACATCCTCAGCACTAAGAGGCATTTTTAAACTTAATATTGAAAAAATTAAAAGCCGGAGACTAAGAAATGTGCTGCAAGAAACGGCACTGAACTAATACTGAATAAACATTTTGATTCCATAGAAAGTAAACAATGGAATCTAGAATCATTTCATTGAATTAATATTACCTATTTATTCATTAAAAACAATAGACCAATCCAAAGCAGAAATATTTTTAGATGAAAACATGAAAAAATCAAGTGGGTGGAATTTTTTGCCTGTCAGTGTATTTATATTGATTGGCAACTCTTACTTATGTTCATTTCATTACTAGCCAATATTCACAGTTTCGTAACCATAAGAAGCAATGCAAATCTTGTACACATCTAAAATATTTAGTCAGAAAATTATGTACATTCTACTAACAGAAATGTTACCTCCATCCTCTGACTATGTTTTCCTACCTTTTGCTATCTGAAAAAGGACAACTGGGAAATCCTCCCTCTGATCTTTTCACTTACCTACTAAATGTGTCAGTACTTGAAAGCATTCAGTGCTCGAACCACAGTTAGTAAGAGAAAATATTACAAATTTTTATAAATAGATTATATATATTATTTTTTTCAGTTTATATAACTTATTACATATTTCATTTTTAATATTGTGTATTGCAATAATAGTTAAGATTCATGTACCATAAATCACTATAGTTTATTATTTACCATTATCGGTCTTATAATATTATATCTCTGATTATATTTTAAAATGTTCAGCCCTGAAGATGATCCACATGTTTGGGTTGAAACGTTGGCACAAATAAAAAATTAAATTTTTTTTTTTAAAAGACTGCGTCTTGAATATTTGTCATCCATGATGTTTAGAACAGTCGACTAGCTTCCTTAACCTAATACATTGAAAATCTCTCATTCCTTTGTAAAGTGGTCTTCAGGTTATCCTTATATGAACTGTATTCAATGTATTCAATATCTGTTGTCTGAGTCATCATAACAAAAATATCAGATATAACTAAAGTACCCAATTGATGGAAAATCTTTTCACTTTTTCATAAAAACAAATTAGACCTCAATACTTTAAAAATAAAAATGTCTTGAAGGCACTTTGAGAAATACTATCAGACAAATATCAACAAAAACAATCTCATTTCAACTAATCAGTTTATTTGCAAACTTAATTTTTGCATTTAAACTGAATCAATTTAATCATGTATTTTTAATTTAAATTTATTCAAAGTTTATAAGGAAAAAGGTGAAAAACTATCAACAAAAAAAAAATGTTGGAAAATTCTCGTTAATACTCTTTTAAAAGAATATACCGTAAGATGAGGTAACTTTGGGACTGGGTGGGTAACTTTTGGACAACAGGTAAAATTTAGTTTGTGGTGATTCCATGTTGGATATACTGTGTTGGTTCTGTCTACAAAAACATGCTTTATGTAGGTATGTACTGACCTACTACCTTGAGGCAGTTTGAGAACCCTGGCTCACTACACTCGTTGTGCAGTTGGGTTTTATTTATTTCCATTGCTTTTTCAAAATTTTTGTTTTCATGAAACTTTCTGTTGTGCCTCAAGAACTGCGAACATCATATTATCGAAGTATTAATATCGGCCATGAAGAAATCGGCTTCTAATTGGAAATGGCCTTCAACGCCTGATAAAATTCATTACTCGAAGGACGAGTTGGCCGGCGAGAAATTTCCAAAGTGAAAGAGCTGCTAGTTTACAGCGATCTCTTGGCTTCAGTTAACAAAAAAACTAAATTGTACGAAGTCTTAGAATAATGTTTGTTACATTTTCTGTTTGTTCAGTAAATTTTCAAGGCCTAATTGCTTAAGAAATTGTGATTTGCAATCTTTTTGTACCATTAAAACCAATTTATTGTTCTCATGTGCTTTTAAATATAGTATTGCAGGATAAAATTGGTATAGAATTATTTTCATTGTTGTTTCTTAGGCAAATAATGAGTCTATACAATGTTGTAGGATAACATAATGAGTCTATAGAATAGAAGAATCAACTTTATTCTGGGACTACGTCCCTTGAGAATAACAATATTGTACATAAAATTAACATTACATCTGGCCAAAATGTATATTACAATAAACAAAAACAAACAAACAAAAAAAAAAACTAAAAAATAAGGGATAAAAGAAGTATTTACATAACTGTACAGATATAGGAAGACTTAATATGAGCAATAAGGTCCTAATACTGCAAAATAGTTGCTATACACAATAAGCTATGAAATTATAAATGAGCGACAAATAACTTTTGTTGTCATGTCATTGTATTAATGAAAAAAAAAATAATAATAAAGATGTTATAGTAATAATAGTATGTTCGAAGAATACAATAATAGTATAATAGTATATATATATATATATACAATAATACAATAATAGTAAGAATACAATAATAGTACAAGTATATATACAATATATATAATATATATATATATATATATAATATATATAATAATACAATAATAGTATAATAATACAATAATAGGCTACCCAGCGTCTGATTGAATTGTAAGGAGGAATTGGAAAAGGAGGGTTTTAAATGTGGATAAGGATGGTGCATGGCGGATTTTAAGTGGGATGGAATTCCAAAATGTGGTGGATCGGACAATAAAGGAGTGTTGAAATGAGGCCGATTTGTGGAAAGGGGTATAAAGGTCGGAAGGACGAGATCTTGTGGAGAGGGAGTGGATAGATGACTTGAATTGAAGGAGATTGAATGCGTAGGACGGACGATGATTATAGATTATTTGGTAAAGGAATGTACCTAGGAAGTACTGTCTTCTGAAGGAGGGAAAGAGTCACCCTGACTCGGTGTAGTAGTGGGAAACATGAGAACGTCTCACTATATTATATTGTAACATTGGTACAAAATCATGTTTTTTGCCGTTTCTAATGGAGATAATACATTGTCCCCATTTTACCCCAATCAATGGGGTAAGATTAGAACAAATTTAATTTTTTTTTAGTAAAATACTATAGTTTCAAGAGTTATTGTTCTGCCATATTTGTTAAGGGAAAGACTTGCCTTACATATTAATAATTTTTTTAGCATTTAAATTTTGAAAATAAAGATAGAAGAAACTTAAAACATTGAAAAGTGTTCCAAAGTTACCCCATCTTATGGTAATGAATTTAAAAAAAAATTAACGTGTTTTTAAAAATAATGGTTCTGTTTAAGTCTAAAATGTTTATTTGGTTATATTTTGGATGTCATATGCAACTTAGGTCAGAGACACCTTATTGGAATTTCATTACAATACTTCTGTTATGATTTTGTTGTTTTAAATGTATTTATGTTGTTAATATATTCTATAAAGATTGTGTTATTACAGCTGTATATGTTAGTTCTGATTTATATTTAAGTATGTGTATAAAGATTGTATTGTTTAAATATGTCATTCGTAATTCTGTTATTTATAACATAGGGACAAATTCTTCAGGTTTTCATGTTGTAGAGCTTGTTGATATGTCAGTAGGTGATAAGAAGTCCTTGATGGATCCAAGCTTGGACAATCTTCTAGAATGTGTTGTGATCTTTCCGTCACTTTTAATCTACAATGTTAATAGATAGAAAATAATTCATTTATTAGTATTATGTTCAAAATAATCTTCCATGCATATACTTATTTTCATATTTAGCTGCACGTGCTATTCATTGTTGTAATAATTGTTGTTACATTGCCCTTAGCTAAGCGATGAGGAGAAAGCTGCTGTTCCTGAACATATCAGAAAGGCAGCTCGAGAAATGGGTCTAAAAGCATTTAAAAAGAAGCTTGAGGAAATCCAAATGAGCGAATTTGATGCAAGTCTTTATAATCAATTTTTTGAACCAGTCGAAAGACAAGTAAGTTGTCATTATAAATTGTTTTACCAGATTTTTAATGTAAAGAAGTAAATTGAATTAGTTTTATTAAATTTAAATAACAGTTTTAAAAAATATTTTGTTCACGAATTTGAAATATAATGTTAGCAACAGTTGTTATAGGCTCGATTAAAATGTTTTACTTTTTAGCTACTACAGTAGTACTTTTCAAGGGCACTCAATGTTCTTATAAATGGTGTCTTCAAGGAATATATAAGCCCTTATACTTTTTTTATTCTACTTCCAACGACATTTCGAGCTGATTTGCTCATTATCAAGTCATAAAAAAATGTTATCTTCTGAAATGTATTTCAATATTATAATTTCATTGAACTACTACATGTAGTACATCAAATACCAAAGATAACCATATTCCTCGTCTCCATATTCCTTAAATTTTTGCGCATTTATTGATGCTTGTCGTTCCCGTACAGTACTACCTCCTCCCTCTATTGTTGACACCATATATAATGTTATATTTTTTTTTATGTAGATTTCTCATGTTTACCTGGTTAACCCATAAATAATGCCGATATTTAATTGCATGATATAAGGGGTTAGATAAAATCAATGAACACCAAATTTTGTATACCTTCACTGAAAAAATCCTTTGGTTTTGAATTAAAAAAAGCCATCACCTCGTTTTTTTAATTAATCGACTGAATTCATGTTCCCGATGCTCAATGAGTTTTGCGGACTGCGGAAAAGGTGATAATCCAAAGGGGATTAGTCAGAAGAATATGGTGGGTGAGGAATAATTTCTGATAGAAAATCCTTCAATCTTTGCAATGTTTGTTTTACAACATGGGGCCTCGCATTGTCATGGTGGAATATAATGCCTTGGCTATTGATAAGTGAGGGAGGTTTCTCTTCAATTGACCATTTCAATCTATCCAGCTGATCACAGTAGAGATCTTTAGTGATAGTTTGACCAAGATAAAGAGATACACATATATTAAAGATAGTAAATGATCAATAGTAAAATAAATCAGTATACTAAATGTAGTATGGATATAACAATATATAGTATAATAAATGTATAGTATGATAAAAGAATAGAGAGAAAAAAATTTTAAAAAAAGTATTTGATCCATAAAGTTAGTGGTAGTTGAATTTTAAAAATAAGAAATTAACCAATTAAAAATTTAATTTTTGGTTCCGTTAGTATTTGGTTTGTTAGATATTCTGATATTCAGTTAAACATAAATGAAACCAAGCTCAAAGTCTGTTTCCCAAATCTATTGTTAAATATTCAAAATATTTATTTTTCTTACATTGTACCGCATAGCTAATTTCCTTTTCAAATGACTAATTGTGAATAAAGTCAAGTATTATTTTTTACATATGAAATAAATGAGGTGATATTTTCCAGTTATTTTGAAATTTTCTACCTTATTACTGATTTTTTAGTTGTTTCAGTATTCAGTATTTTTTAGTTTTTTTAGTATTTTAGTTTTTAGTTTAGTGTTCAACACTCTATCTTGCAGTTCGGAGAGTTTAGATAAATTTCTTTTTTAATCGGGAAATTTATTTTATAATTTAACTAATTTAACAATCCACCATTAACAATTGTACCTTTTCAATTAGTAGCACTATAATACTATATTATTCTAAATAGTACTGGTACTTTTGCTTAGTGAGAGGTACTAGTCCCGTAGGAAATAGGGTCCTACCATGGTGCTTTTTGCCAACCTCTGACAGCTACTTTGTAGTTACGGCCTCGTACTTACCAGAATAGAAATGAAAATTAACCAACCCAGGTAGGAATCGTACCCACAATGTTGAGAACCGGACACTCTGGGGCTCATGCCCCAACATGCTTGGCCGTGCCATCCTCACTTCTAAATAGTAGGAGTGTTTTTCTTCTTTTCCTATTAGAAATTTCATTGAGCTATTCTTCTTAGATATAGTTACAAACTTTCTTTTAGCAATGGTTTAAAGTCTTATTTTTAATAAATCTCTCCATATTCTTTTGTTTAAAAGTTTTCTCTTTTTAGGTTCAAGCTCTGAGAGTTATTTTGACTAGTTTGCAAGCCAAATCAAAAGAAAGACAATGGCACAGACATCAGACTTCAGGAGAGCTTGATGACACAAAATTAATAGAAGGTAGTTTTCTTCTTTTTTTTTTAATTTTTCAGGTAAAGAAATAATCTTGTTTTTTTTTCCCCCTTTTTCTCTGGTATTTTTTTTTTTTTTTAATTGATGGATTATTTTATCTTTGGAAAATCTTTTGGAGGACTGTTAAAACATTCCTAGCTTAATGTTTCTGGTTCTCATTAGAATATAATGTCTTCATTTTTAGGACTGACCGGAGAGAAAAATATTTACCGTCGTAGAAGCGAGAAAGAACCTGAACTTGGAGCTCCTCAACAAAAACCAAAAAGGCTTAAGTTGGTTGTTGATGTTTCTGGAAGTATGTACAGGTACGGTGGGCTTTTACTATTAATTAATCCTGTACTACATGTTTTGTTCATTTAGATATAAGAACTCTTTTTGAATTATCATGCTGTATTATAATAATTCTATATTATAAACATTATGATGATTTTTATTATTTGTTGTTTTTAACATTCTACCAATGATTTTTATTCTTCAACTGGTAATTATTTTTTTTTACATTTTAGATTTTTCAAAATTTATGCAAGTATCAAATTATCTAGCTCAGCCGAACTCGAACTCAGACCTTACTTTAAAAACTTACTCACTCGTCTCTCCCTCATATTATAAAACAGTAATCATACTGTATTTTTAATTACATTCCAACCTTAATCATTCTTATATATATATTATTATTTTATAAAGTTTGGCAATTAGGTTCCAAAAATGCCTTATTAATAGGATTGTAGCGATATAGGACAAGTTCCGATATTCCTAATGGATATCGCTGTCAGACTATGATATCAATATCAGTATAATAATAAATCAAAAACATTGATACCATTAATATCAAATGATTTTGTTATCAAAATGAAAATTTTAAAAGTACTTAACAAATATATATTTTATAGCAAAAATTCATCAAGTGACTTTTAATAGCTAAAAAATTTGATGAATTTTCTTTTTGTAAAATCAGAAAATTGTACACTTGTAGTAATTATATTTGATGCACGAAGATAATTGATGTATAAGAATTTGTGTTGTTTTAGTTTACTTACATTATTTTTCATCAATAAATAAAATAGAAATTAAGAATAACGTTTGTAAAAGTTCAGCTCCATCAAAAAACATTTTTACAGAGTTTTATTTAATCAATAATAATCATCTATCAGTCGGTGCCAATTAACTTTAATGTACTTAGTGACTTATTGCAACAAGCCAACGACATGAGCTGTTTTCTTGTAGGGAGGTGGCCGAGTTCGCTAACACATGTACAAAATACGTGTTGCTTGGCAAACTGATAAACGGCGGGACTTTTAACTCTGGCATTAATCCTCCCTCTCTCCTAGTCCTGGAAAAACCCTGTATAACTAAAAATTTGAGGAAGGGGGGGAGGAAATGTTCTCTACACTAAACAATCAAGCTTTTACTATGTATATTACTATGGATCTTTGACAGTATTTATTATTACTCCATTTTGTAGTATTTAGAGATATTTAAATTTTTTAAAACATATTGACATTTGGATATACGTATACCCTCATTTTATGTTTTTAAACAATAAATTGATTCAAGGTTATAATGTGAGTGAAAAATTAAATGTATTCAGATAATAATGTTTTAAATAGTTTTATTAAACATATTTATTTAAATGTCTAAATAAAAAGAATGAAGTGTGCAATATCCAAATCTGATATTGACTTTTTTCTTTCAATATTACGATAATATCTATGTTATCCTTTTGAAGGCGCCTATTTAAGTGTAAAGCTATTGAGTTGATCTGATTTTTTGAGGAACATCTCTCCTAATTGAATGTAAATTTATTAGGATAGATAGTTCTATCAATTTTATTTCAAAATGTAATTTTATAATTAAAACATAATCTCAAAAACGATATTTGGTATAAAACAAGTGATTTTTTTTCTTGTATTTCTATTAATTTGCATTTATTTTAATTACTTATTGATCATATAGTTTTTGTGCTGCTAATATGTAGTATAAAATATTTTACCTTGTATTTTAGTACAGACTAATTAATGAGTTTACATTCACATATAAAATTACAGTTTAAATCTTTTAGGTTTTAATATTTTGTTTTATAATTTTTTTCATTAAGTTATTCTTTTTCAGATTCAATGGATATGATGGTCGTTTAGATAGACAACTCGAAGCAGTTGTGATGGTTATGGAAGCTTTTCAAGGTTTCGAATCTAAAATTCAATATGACATTGTCGGACATTCCGGTGAATCTATTTGTATTCCATTTGTTGAAAAAAATAATCACCCAAAAGATAATAATGAAAGGCTACAAATTTTAAGGGTTAGTTTAACTATTTGTGTTGTTGTATTATATTTTGGATATTTGTTGATACTAAGCACAATTAAGATGCTCACAAGCATGTATATGATTGAACAAATACATTGAAAAATAGAATTTTTTTTCAAATATATTTTTCATTGTAAACATTCGCTTGAATTATGGTATCTTATTGGTGCGGTTTCTACATCACTGTATAATATGTCTTGTGTAACTAATAACAAATCAAAACCATAGGTTTGTACACTTAATTTTTTCGGATTTCTTTGATATTAAGGTCCATTATTATGTTACCGGAGGCATGATTTTTGAAAAAAATATTTTCATTGTGATCATTCATTCCCATACTGATTTATTTTAACTTTTCGGATCTCTTTGATACTGCCGCCCATTGTAGGTTTTCGGAGCTTTAAAGATCCTATAGAATTAAGGAATTTCGGTTTACATATTAATCTATCAGGTCGATCATTCGTTTGTTGTAGGAGTAGTTTCATTGATATATTGGGTCTAAATTAAGCTATCAAATATGAGAAATTTGTTTAATTATTACATAAACAAGATTCTTCGGTACTGAAATAGTTTATTAGGTTTTCATTTACAACTGAACCAGAGAAAAATAAATTCTGAATTTATTACTATGTGCTTGAGAATTTTGATTTACTGTTAATGTTGCTCATTGCTAATGTATCTATTATTAAATTATTAAATGGTAGGAAAAGAACGAGATCAACAAAATCTAATCATAAATTGTCATTTTAGAATTTAATTTCAAAAAAGCCCTTCAATAACCCAGTCTCATTACTTAGGTCCATTCCTTAATATTGAAGAAATACAAAAATTTAAAATAAATTGCTATGCTAGCAAACACAGTCTTAAAATAATAAATAAAATAAATCATGATGGTGTATGATCTTAAAAGAGATAGTAGTTTAGAAAAATATGCCTCGAATGAACCATTTATAAATTCAAACCAAATAAATTCAAAAAATCAAATTTCATGTATACCAGACAGAATGGTAAATCATAAATACTATACTCATCAACATTATTCATGTAATTCAACCATGAATACATTTTAAATAGATCACAAGTTCAAATCCTGGAAAAACCCCATATAACAAAAAAAGGTGTGGAAGGGGAAGGGAAAAAAAAATTGTGTTCTCTAAACTAATCAATCAAGTTTGTATATTACTGTATATGTATATTACTTTATAGATAGATTTGTGTGTGTGTGTGTGTGTGTCTTTATTGATAAAGGACAATAGGTCACATTTTCGTAACTTTACACAATAGTAATTATATCATATATTTTCCTCCAAATAAAAGAGTAATTAGTTTCCTTTTAAAAGCATGTGAGTCTCTTCAAAAATTGGATAAGAACACTATATATCTACCTCTGGGTAAAAAGTAGTTAAATAGAAATGTACAAAAACTAAATCAGTAAAAAATGGACATAGTTTCCTATGGGTATACTTCCGAGGTACAGATAAGAGTTATGTATATTAGTTCAATTAATGCCCATCAGTATATTTTTATTTTTTATTTAGGTGATGCATGCACACTCGCAATTCTGCATGCAAGGAGATTACACTTTGGAATCTACTGAAGAAGCTGTGAAATCACTCGCCAAAGAAGACTGTGATGAAGCTATCGTAATTGTTCTTTCTGATGCTAACTTATCGCGTTATGCTATTCCAGCCAGACAATTGGGTGAAGCACTCACTGTGGATCCAAAAGTAGAAGCTTACGCTATATTTATTGGTTCATTAGGCAACGAAGCTACCAGGTTATTAGATTATTCATGTTTAAATATTTTCGCTTACCTTATTTTGATTTGAAAATATAATTAATAAACTTTGTATTTCAGCCTTTGCGAAGCCTTACCAGCAGGAAGAGGTTTTACTTGCTTCAATGTGAAGGATCTGCCTAATATATTGCAAACGATATTCGCATCGTCCATGGCGAAAGGTTATAAATAATGCAATCAAGAATATTAACCAACAACTGTTAAAGAGAGCTCTCTTTATAATATATTGTGATCTTAGTTTGTAATGTGAAGTATTGTTGATTTTAAACCTTTTTGATTATAATTTCATTCATTGTTATTTATTTATTTTTTTAATAAAATATTTTTACTATATTATTTTTTTCTCCTTCCCCAAATCTCCTAAGTTTTAAGGTTTCAGAATTATTTATATAAGCAAGTTATCTAAAGTAATTATCAAATTCAGTATTTCTATATCTATTTACTGTCAATCAATTCCTTGAGCTCAAAAAGTTTTTTCCTTTCACAAATAAATTATGCATTCAGAGTGATTAGAGCTTCACTATATGGTATTATATATTCCTAAACGAATTACCTGGCTTCAGTAAGAAAACAAATCAGGTAGTTGTTGCGTATTATTGACCTAAAGTGATTGTAATATAAAAATTTAAGTATTTTTACCATAATTTTTTCCTGAACCAATCATTTCTTATACTTACATTATTAAAATAGCAAGACAGGGGAACTTTTACACATTGAGTGTAACATTGTTTAGTTCTCGTTTAACATAACTTTTTTTTTTTTAGAATTTAAATAAATAAAAGGATAAAATTTTACCACAAACCTGGAACGTTATTACAAAGTTTTATTTTTATTACAAACATTTTTTAAACAAGTTTCACAGAAACCATTAAAATGAAACTTTTTAAAAAAGGTTCAATCTCTGGCAAAAATTTACGGAGTGACAGACTTGCATATAAACCAATTATAATGAAGAAATATTTTTGAACTAAATTGAGGAATTATTTCACATGATATTGATTTAATAGAAATGTAAAAATTTCATAACTGGTGAGACCAAATGGCTTACAAGACAATTTATCAATACTTGTTTCAAGAGTACTATGGAACATTACAAAATACAAAGTTATACCAAAGAGATTTTCAATGTAATATGCTATTACACTAAAGTTGATATTATATAAGTGGTAAACTAATATTTAATTTTATTAATAAACATACTAAGTAGTTTATTTGGTAAAATTAAACTTTTCTTTTAGGATACCCCATATTAAGTAATTTTGTGATTTATTAGTTCAAAGTGTAGAACAGCTGAACTTCTGTGCTTGAAAAGTTCAACAATATACTTTTCATAAAGCTCTTCAATTGCTCTGAACAGAAAAAAGAATTTTTTTCTGTTTATTTTTCATAACATTACAATTTTTTGTTTTGTTTTTATGATTTGGAATGTTCTCTATAACCACTAATTGAATTACAAATTACTCTCAAGGAAATCAAACTCTGTTTTTTTTCTTTCAATTATTTACATTAAAGCATTGTATGATTAGTTATCTAACAGGAAAACTGTTGCATTAAGTATGACCGACAAAAATAGTGGAAACACATTCTTATCTGGTCTGAAAATGATACCTAATATCAATTATCAAACTCTATATGGTGGATCCTTCTTCAGTTTAAAAAATAATTGTAATGTTTACTAATTAAAAGAAATTCCATTATCTACGTGATGAGAAAAACAAAAATAATCCTATAAGATAACATGGAAAAATAATTAAAAGCATCTGCGTTTGGTGGAGACTGGTATTTTCCAATAATCTCATCAAATGATTCATCGTTTACTTGGATTAAATTTCCTGAACTCTATTATCGAATTTCTGCCCTCACTCTCTTATTCAAATTCAACATTTAAATAATATTCTCACTCAGTTCTGATTTTTAATGTGGTTTTACTCACTTTCATGTTTTCTTATAATTAACTCCTTATCTGTGTTTATTTTCTTCTATTTCATTGTAATTTTGGTACAAACATCTTTAGAAAGCACTTTAAAACCTAACTATCTTAATCTATTTATTTGATATTCATTTTTTTAATAAAAACACTAATTAACATATTAGTAATATAAATCAGAATTAAATCCATATATAGAAATTTCTAATATATATATTCTTTGGGATAAAGTAACATGGTTATAGAAAGGTGCCAATATTTTATTGTGTATAATTCAAATGATAATATATTTTTAAATGACAATATTTCTATTAACACTTTATTTCAATAGTTTATTGAATTGTCTAATTTTATATCACTTTTTCTTACACTATTGTATCATAGAATTTCATTAATTGTCATAATGAATGTATTTTAAATGATGACAAATTAATTTTTTACATTTTATTAATTTAATTTTTATCACAATAGTTCATTTAGTAAATAACTAATAAATTGATGTACAAATATCAAAATAAAAAACATGCAAATCAATATGAAAAATCATTTATCATTTTAAATCCAATTAATAAAACAAAAAGTTACAATAATAAACGGAAAAACTGGCTATTTTTAATATTATATTTAAAAATAGTTCAATTATTCGTCTAAAGATAGCAGCACCTATCGAGAAAGCTGCAAACATGATGGACAAGGATAACATAACGATAGACAAAGACAGAGAAGGATCATCGAGAGAAATCCAGCTCGAAAATTTTTATTTTGTATTAGGATAGTGGGAGGTCAAAGGAGCTCAACTGGTAGAGCTCACGAGTAAGCCGATAGTGCTGCCGTCTTGTGGCAGTCTTTGGAACTACAAGTACACGTGCACTTAACCCTACCTACTAGTTGAGCTCCTTTGACCTCCCACTATCCTAATACAAAATAAAAATTTTCGAGCTGGATTTCTCTTGTGGGATCCTTCTCTGTCCTTGTCTATCGGCATGTTGCTGTCCTTGTCTATTATATTTGCTGTTTCTCGATAGGTGCTGCTATCTTTAGACCAATAATTGAACTATTTTTAAATATAATATTAAAATCGTCAGTTTTTTCATATATTGTTATGTTTTTTGTTTTGTTAATTGGAGTTAAAATGGTGAATGATTTCGCATATTTATTTACATGTTTACTTAGTTATTTTTAGATTGTTTTATAATAATTAAATGACTTATAGAGGTGGAAGTTAAATTAATAAAATGTAAAAAAAAAACTGTTGTCATTTAAAATGCATTGAATATGTTAATTAATGAGATTCTATGATACCGTAGAGAAAGAAAAATTAATATGTACTTTCCAATAAGTAAAAAATAATTATTAACTTTAGTTTTCATTTAAGTTTTAGTTAGGCTTAAGTTTCCAGAATAAACGACTTTAGTTTCATTTAAAGTAAAACTTTTATCATAAAAAAACATAGAAAATTTAGATTTTGAAGGTGTTTTCAAAAGACTTTTGTAACTTCTGAATTTAATATAGCTCTAAGATTATTAAACAACAAAGAGAAATAATTCTTTATGGATATTTATTTTTATTCATTTGGATTATGCTTCGGAATTGCTTGTCTGTATAGTGCAGACCTCTTGCGGGACTTACCAGAATATTATTTTCCGCTTTCTTGATTTGTGCTGCTCAAATACTAAATCTTATTCTTTTTTATGTTTATTATAAATTATTAATTATTTTGATTCGATGAAAATTCTATTTTAAGGCACCTCATATATCAAATATTGTGTGATTCTCATCATTACCTTTTTTAATATTTTCGTGCTCAATATTTTTTCTTTTCTCCTTGTTTTTTGTTAGGGAGCTGTTTAATTTACTTTGTTGTCCAGAATAATTTCCCGAAACGTAAACTTGGAATGAATTATAGCAAATAAGCTTATTATTTTATGTATTTGGAAGTTTTTTATTGCCAACAACAAAGTAAATATTTTTTTATTTTAAAATTTTATTAATCAGAAGTTATATTTTGAAAGATTTACCTATTTTTATACTTTATATGTGACCAATCACTAAAAATACTGAAGGAAAAAAGTCTATAGTTTAATGACTTTATTTAAACATAGTTTTTATGAGCACGCCATGTTTTATTAAACTGTTTAAATAAAACTTACAGTACTTCAGAATAAATAGTATTTTTAGTTCTATTTCTATAACTAGATCTGGATAAAACTGTGTACAGTTTTCTGTGGGGAAAATCAGCCTTTTCTTAAGTCCATTCCAATTTACTTATAAATTAATCATTGCGCTTAATGTATAGTGACTGCAAACAACATTTATTGGTAGTTTTAATAGTCTAATGGTCTGCTGTTTTCAAAATGTATTGATTGACGTTAATGGTTACTGCTCCATTCCTATAGATCATTGTGTATTGTTATGAAACCTAAAAACCCTGCTTCCATATATAATTTATCTAGCATTTAAAGCATTTTTAAAGTAATTTTTGTATACACAAACCAATACACTTTATCATATAATTCTGTGCATTATTTTTCAAAGGCTACATCAATTACCAGTATAAATTTATTACATCAAGAAAAACTTCAAACCCATTTTATTTCAAACTACTGTACTGTACTTTAACTCATTTCAACAATTGGAAATATTTACAGCCATATTTACGCATTTTCAAGTCTATAAAAATATTTCTGTAATATTTATAATAATATTATATACATATTTTAATATCAACAAGAGAAAAATACAATAACTACAATTGCATGGCTGCTCAACTGTGATGAGTTGCTAAATCACACAGCATGCTCATCAGTCCAAGAGATATTGTTCAAAAATAGAGCAAAAGAGTTAGTTGGATCCATTTGACCATAGCAAATATTTTAGAAAAAAACAGTGTACAGAAAAGAACAAATGGAGGCAAAGCTTAGTATATGTGGTGATGGAGGATCCCCGAGTTCGAAATGATATCTCCATGTTTAATAAACGATAAAAGAAAAATTTTTCAACAATCACTCTTTATGAATTAAAAACTTATCTTTAACAAAATTGAGTAACAATCTTAACCATAAATTGTTTATTTTTTTTTTATTTATTTAACTTGCAAAACACTCAAAAAGTAAGAACTTGCCAAAAATATATGTTTTATCAAAACTGATTGTGTATTACTATTTTTATAGGTTAATAGGCAAGTAAGGTTACCATAAAATTTGGGAAATGTATTATCTTATACATGGGAGAAAATGTATTGATTATCTAGCAATTTCATATATGGAACAACTTAAAATCAAGTGTTGTAGGCATAGAGCAAGGCAGTCAAATAATTTTATTTATATATCTACTATTGATTTGTTACAAGAGCTATTTTTTAATAATTTCTTTTTACCTAATGAATCACAATTTATTTAAGAGTATTAGT